TAACCCACACTCCGGAGCTGATGCTGCATGCCTGCGAGTCTGAAATTACTGTGACGATCAGTGGCATCAGGCTGCTGGAAGCCTATGGGATCAGACCATTCCTGGAAAAGCTGCGGTACTTGCCTCTTCTTTATGCTAGGGGAAATTAATTAATCCAGAATGGCACCCCTCTAAAAACAGATATCTAATATGTGGAAAGGAATATATTCTCTCCATATATTACATATGTATGCAGAAGATCTTATTCTAAAATGCAACTTTCCACCTTTTTCTAATAAATTTCAGATGTTCCTGTCCTAGTGCTTATTTTATTTCAGTTAATATATGTGCATGTGAGAAACCGCACTGTCCAAGTGTGAACTAGGGAAAAGTGAAACTTGCCCTCAGTTCCTTATACTTAAAAATAAACAGGTTCTTATGTTACACTTGGGCTTTACCTCTCTCATCATAGAAACAAGCTTTCTGTACTTCTGTCTAATGAAAACAATTGTCCCGTAGTAAAAAAATTGTCAATAAAAGTTGCCACTGCTCCCATTTTTTATTTGGGCCAATGCAGCCTTTAATAAATGATACACAGCCAATTTGCTAAGAAGGGTCTGATCCCTGAAGTCTCTACTTGAGCAAAATCACTGCTGAAAACAAGAGGACTTTTGCTGAATTTTGTGTTGTCCCTAGTGCTTTGTACTGTTGTCAAGTGTTTGTCCACGTGATCAACAGTACATCAGGCTAAGCACATGCACAGTTAGACTTTGTAAGTGGAAATTAATTTCCTGGGGCCATGATCATTTGTGTGTAACTTCCCAGAAGGCAGCGGGATTGATTCTCCTCACACCTACAAATGTGTAAACCAGGAACAAAGGAAGGAAATCACTGGAATTGTTACCAGGATCAACATGTTAGCCCTCAGTAAGCCAGGCTGTGAATTTCTAGCACTCACATACTAAGAGTTTTATAGCACATGGCCACACTCTGCCCAGCCACCCCTGCAAAGTAGGGTCAGTTCCATTACATGTAACAATTACTAAAGGCTCGTCTATCTGAATGAACTTGTGAGGCAGATGAGGTAAACTGCATTAAGCCCCATTGTGTTCAGAATTAAAGCAGCCTTAATTCAATTCAGCTTACTTTCCTTCCAAAAAGAATGACTCCAAATCAGATTAAGGTTGCTTTTATACTGCAACAGAATGTCCATGCTGGGCTTTAAAGCAGTTTAACAAATCTACTTTAAATACACACGTTTCATTAATTCGGATTAGCTTTCCTGAAGTCCCCAGTGGAGATAAGGCTTAAGAGACTCCATGCAGGGAATCTGCATGGGTTTGCTAGGATGCTGTGAACTCACACCCTGGCTTACTGCACAGTAACTTCCTCATGAAGACAAGTAAATCCAGCTCATTGTCTCTGCTGGAGCCGCCACACAGAGGATTTGAGCTCTTGGCAGTTTGGCAGCAACCTCTCAGATCTGTGAAGGAAGGGGTTACAGGGCCTTTCATTTTCACTCTCCCCCTTGCTCCTCTGCCTGTTCCCTAGTGCTCTATAGCTAAGGATGGTAGCACCAGATGGGGAATTTTGGCAGTGATACCAGCCTATGGGATCCCTGCCCACTGCCTCTCCACTTCATTCCTACCTCTGCACCCCAGTGCACTGCTGCCTTGCTCACGCCAGATAAGTTCCCTCATCCCCTTCACTGAGTGGATGAAGAAAAAGCTGTATGGGGGCAACTAAGAAGGCAGCATAGAGCAATGGCTGGTAAAGGAGGCCTGGATAGTGACTCCTTATGCTGGAATTGCCACCTTGCCTCATCAAACTACAGCCCAACTAAGACTACCATGTCTCCTGGTTTCTCTGTCCAGCATAACATGGGAATCACTTCTGGGAGGTCCCTACCAAATGAAGGTCTCTTCTCTCTTTCAAGAGATGCACTAAATTGGCCATCAGCTCATTTCCAGTCCTCTTCCACTGACACAAACAACCCCATGGAGCTCATGTGTGGCAAAAAGAAACATATGCCAAAAGGGGGAGAAAAAAGAAAAAGAAAAAAAAAGGAAAGAAAGAAAGAAAAGGATGCTTACTGGTAAGAACAGGCGGTTTGTTAAGTGCACCTTCAGGCCCACAAAGACATTTCAGCGCTCCTGTGTAAAAGGAGTAAGAGCTTTTTTGTTGTTTTTTTTGTTTGTTTTGTTTTTGGGTTTTTTTTTGTGTGTGTGTGTGTCAAACTTGCCGAAAATGCATGCCTATGCTACATGAGGTTAATTCCTGTACTCCATATGTATTGAGATCCTTTGCAGTGAGCTATAAATGGACAAAGCAACATTCAGGCTCCCCAAACCACCCTGAGTCCTAATGATCCATCTTGGTCTCCTGACAAAGAATCATCGCTGCATGCAGCACTCTTCTCTTTACATATGCAAAATGATTATCATTCTGCTCATTAAACTAAGGTGTGCATACCCAACTATGGCAGAAGCTAAGTTACCAAAGTGAGGCCTAATCTCCCAGATGCTGCTTTCTGATCATCAGTCCCACACATTGAATTGATTATTGCTGTTTAGTTTAGTTGGTTGGTTGTTTTATAAGCTGAGTGCAGCATTCAAGTCTGTTTTGACGTGAAAAGTCATAGCCTAGAAGTCAAGAGTTTGGGAAGATCAGGACCACCAGAACTTAATGGGGAGAGAGGTGTAGGATGGGAAGGGGCACGAGCGGGGACAGGAAGGCAGCTTTACAACATCTACCTAGAGGATGTAATGCCCTGTTTTATCTGATGCTTTGCACTTCTTGCAGGAGTTAGAGCTCCCTCAGTTCTTGATCGCTTTCTCATCACTAAGATTCACAGAAGCCACACAGTGAGAAATAAAGTCAAGTCTTTCTGGAAACCTGGCAGATCAGGCTTGTGCGTAACTGCAGAGTTAGGGTTTGTTTTTTTTACTCTAAGTGCCTTGATTTTATATACATGTCTGTGCATGTGTGTGCCACACACATATGCAGACACATATATACATATTTATACACATATATACATATATCAGAAAGACAGGGAAAGAAAGGATCTGTACAACATGGAAGGAGAAGTGTTCAACAGCAGTTGGCCACATGCTAAGTGCAGAATGAAGATCCTCAACTTCGTCCATTTAAAAAATAAAGATTAGTGCCTACATTAGCTCAGATCAAAGGTTATTATCTTCCAGGGTCTAGCAGTCAAGGCTGGCATATTGCAGAAGATACCTTCTCCTAGTGTTGCTTCCTTTACCAGTTGGTGGTGGAAGTAGAGTAAGGTTAGGGACCGGAAAGAAGAATATGGCTCAAAGGATCTGTGACAGGATTTAAGATCTGACAGACTGCCAAAAGGGGATGGAGGAGGCAGGGATGGGAGGGCACTGGAAAGCCTCTCTCACCTACCTGCTGGGGAATCCACGGGAAAGAAAAGCACAGCCCTGCAGTCTGGTTGCCTGACTGGGCGATGCCGCAGTTCATGCTGGTCCCTAGCTTCTCCTGTGTCCTGCCATGCTGGGACAGGCTGCCAAAAAGCCATCTCAGGGAAAGGAAGGGCAGATACAATGATGGCAGCGATGTCTCTATAAACAACCTAGGGAAACTTGAAGTCTTGCATAAACACCACTATGAGTTATTTGGCAGAAGCAAATGCTGAGCCTTGAAGCATCAGACTGGCTGGGGAAGGAAGGTATCCCACGGGCGCTGGTGATCTCTGCCGCCTCTTCTGCGTCCCTCACTCACACTTGCTCTTTCTTTCTTTCTCTACCTCCTTCTGTGCTGTGCCAGGAGGCAGCACAGAACACTCCTGACAGCGTGTTGGTGCCTTCCCCTTTTCTTTGCTATCTCTGATCAGCTCAGTTCCTGGAGGCACTTTCAGCAATTTAGGGGATGTAAGATAAAGGCACTGCACAACTATCTAAATCAATCTGTTGAGTCTCTTCAGTGACTTTTAGGGGAATACAAAAAAGTCTCAACTAATGACTGCAAAAGAAACCAGCTGCTGCAATTTGGATGCATATAATAGATAAGTTTCCTTTACATTCTGAGAATGCACCAAAAAGCATGCATCTGCACCTTTCAGCTATGAAGGATACTAGGTTTTAGGTGTTCCTATATATAACTTGACTTCTTAATTTTCCATATAGCTTTCCCTTTAAGGAATGGGATATGTTCCTTTCCGACAATGCCTGGACAAAAGCCAACACATTTCCCTGAGCAATGCAGGAAAACAATCAGGTTTCTCCGATCAGTTCATTCAGGCCCTCGGTCTATCAAGCACTTTTTTTTATTTTGTTTTTACTGTTATTATTATTATTGTTATTATTATTAGTGAATCCATGCATTAATTAATTCAAGTTACACCTTAATCAAATAGGCCATAATGCTGAATATTTGAACATGCTTTGATCTCCAAAAGTTATTGTTCCCATTTGACTAACATACGCACTTAAATACAGTACTTTAAATTACTAGTCAACGATTTAATAAATTAAGGAGTGCACTTCTGGTGAATGCAAATCAAAAAGAAAAGGAAAAGAAAAGAAAAAAGAAAGATAAAGGACCTATTTTTAGAAGATTCAATTCAAACGAAAGCTTATCCGCTATTGTCTGAGGTAACGTTTCAGGCATGCGATTATAAAATAAATAGTATCAAATTCAAACATGCTTATATTAAACTCCATTGTGCTATCTTGCAACAGAGGGGCTTAAAGTTTTGAATCCAGTTCTGGACAGGGAAAAGGAAAAGTGTGTTTAAATCATCTGCATGTAAGAGAACTTAGCAGCATTGCAGATGTTTTGTCTTCAGTTTTGTTTATTTTCCTTTTAGAATAGTTCTTCTATGGACAGCAAAAGAGACCAGGCTTAAGTATGTTTTTAATAAGGTGCTGTGTGTATCTGTAGATTGGAAGTATGTAATCTTTCAGATAGGGGCGGAAGGAAAATTTGCGCTCCTTCATAAAAACCATGGCAAATGCTCGCTGCAGGTTTTTGCTAATCTTTTTTTTTTTTATTACTATCAGATGCACTTTCTTGCAACTGTGCAGTTTTGCAGAATATTTTTACTGGAATCCATGCGTATGCTTTATAGCTCTAAAAACTGTCTTGCTTAGTTTAAGTTAACTTCATCAAAAAAAAAGGGAGATGGGAGAGGAAAAGTTTAGGTCTAGCGTCATACAGCTTAAAACTAAACTAGTTCAAATGGTTATCATTTACCAGGTGGAAAATGCTTTTTAAAAACAAAGAAAATCTTATCTTTCATGGATCCTGGAAGCTTCTTTATCGCTGAGCAAAAATTCGTAATGCAACAATGCATTTACGAGGTAAATAAAGCATTCAAAGACTATCAGTAAAGCATCTACAAAGTGTGACTGTGTCACTAAAGTCTTCAAGCTGTGAGTGGGGATTTTGGTTTTTTTTGTTTACACATCAGTCAACAGCTTGCTTTTATTAACGCAGTTTTGGTTGGCTACAGGGCAGTTGCCAGTTCTGAGATT